TTCATATACAGTATGTTTAAATATATATGTATATATTTATATATTTAAACATACATGATATGTTTAAATATATACTTTATGTAGTACATGTAGCATACTGTACAGTTTTTTTTTCACTTGGTGTCACAGCAATATACATGTGGTCCCCCTAGCATAGCCAGGAGTGATTCCTGAATGCAGAAACAGGAGTAATGCCTGAGCAGAAACAGGAGTAACCCCTGAGCACTGCTGGGTGTGGCCCAAAAACCAAACCAAAACAAAACAAGTTTTTGCTCAACTTTTTTTCACCAACTTACATGAAACCTAAACCTACTTGCAACATATTTATGAATTTCACAGCATTTTTTTATGTGGGATGTGGAATAAGTTATGCCATAAATTTTCTTTTGAAGGATATTCATGGTGGAGAATACAGCTTAATACAGCGAGGTCATAGCTAAACAATAAGTGCTTTCTCTTAAAGACTTAAAGACTGCTCACCTAATGGGACTGGAGCGATAGCACAGCCTTGCACACGGCTGACCCAGGTTCAATTCCCAGAATCCCATATCGTCCCCTGAGTACCACCAGGAGTAATTCCTGAGTGTAGAGCCAGGAGTAACCCCTGTGCATAGCTGGGTGTGACCCCAAAAGCAAAATAAATAAATAAAAGCCAAGACTGCTCACCCGAATAGACCTGGTTTGTTTGGAAATTGCATGTCTATTTCTCATAATGACCCTGGGCTCTTCAGTTTTCCCTATAATGGTTTCCAATGAGATGAATGCCTGAGGTACTAGGCCATAAATCATACAGCCAATGACAAGTACAAGTCTAGAAATGAAAAAATACAGTGTTGGGTGCTAGGACTGAGGCCAAGTGTCCAGTGACTCAGTCCTCTCCCCCAGAACCACATGTCTTCTGCTTCCATGAGTCTCTACATATCTGCCCACCTCGGCCCCATGCTGCCTATCAGGCCCTGACCCTCGCCTCTTCTTCCTGCTGCTCGTCATGACCCAAACTTCCTCCTGCTTGCCTCCCCACCCGACTCCCAAACCAGACACATGACAGGCAAAGACTTGTCACAGAAGGGTGAACATCACACGTGAGGAGGTTGACTCACATACGGTGAGTCAGAGGGCTGTATCGGGTTGCACAGAGAACCCCTTGACTCAGAGGGCGAGGCAGATGCTAGAGAAGTAAACTTAGATTAGAAGTAAACTTAGATTGCACGCACCAATGACAAGAGGCCAGGGGAATCCCAGAACACAGCCTCAACTTCTGTGCAAATTCTATTCTTTTAGCAGAAGGTTGTGTGGAACCAGGGAAAAAGCCCATTAGAAACCAGTTCTAATTTTCTTTTAGGTAGAGTAGGATGTTTATGAACCAGGTGTCACTCCAGCATCTGGGAGTCTTATCCAATGCTGCTTTGGGGGACCCTGTGATAGCACTGTCTGTAGCAGTGTCCCACTGTCCTCCCATTGTTCATCGATTTGCTCAAGCGGGCACTAGTAATGTCTCCATTGTGAGACTTGTTATCGCTGTTTTTGGCATATCAAATATGCCATGGGGAGCTTGCCAGGCTCTCCGAGAGGGACGGAGGAATCAAACCCAGGTCAGCCACATGCAAGACAAGCACCCTACCCGCTGTGTTCCAACCCTGGATTACCTTTTAATAATAACCTGACCTTGGTGGGAAATGGGCACTGGTGGAGGGATGGGTATTTGATCATTGTATAATTGAAACCCAAGCACAAAAATGTGTAAGTCTGCAACTGTACCTCATGATGTCTCACTATTAAAAAATTGTTAATAAAAAAATAAATAAATAAATAAAAGTAAAAGACAAAACCAAATTATTAAAAAAAAATTTTGGAATTTCAAAATTGCACAGCCACTACTGCATCCACGGAACATCATATGTTATTCATAACCAGCAATAGAAAACAAATTGTCTACTGTTGCTTTCTCAGTAGATCTGAGTGTTGGGGTAAAATCTCAAATAAAATAATGGTGGGTCTGGTGTCAAAATATTGAATGTAATCAAAGTAGAGAGAGAGTAAGGTGGAAATCGTCTGCCCCACAGATGGGGGAGGGTGTGGTATGGGGGTATACTGGGGGTTTTGGTGGTGAGAATGGGCACTGGTGAAGGTACAGGTGTTTCATTGTATGACCGAGACTTAAACCCGAAAACTTTGTAACTGCTCTCACAGTGATTCAATAAATAAAATTTTAAACAATGAAAAAAAAAAACCTGACCTTACTAGTTCTTACCCAGGTTTGTGTTCCAGGGATTATTAACTCCTTTTGAGAGAGAGCAGAGTTTGAAAGGGCCAAAGCGGAGCATGAAGCCAGTGCACCTCCCTCCCACCTGATATCACTTCTCCTGTCTGCCTAGAGATGGACAGACACCAAAGGCAGCATGTCCCAGCACTTGGCAGCTCCTTCCCTGTTCACTCTACAGGCCCTTCCTGGATGCAGGTCTTCAAGAGCATACCTGGCTGCCCTTACAGGTCCATGCTCTCTCCTAAGGCATTTCTGTTCAAATAATCCTCTACTGACTAGTCATTGTCTGGCTCTCTGCAATTCCAGAACATCAATGGAGCACAGGAGCAGAAACCAAGACACAAGAGTAAAGTCAGTCCTTCGCCTCTGGAGCTGAGAGAGACAGGAAGAACTGGGGTCATACAACTCTCTCCTCATGTGGCCTGTCAGTCTCTGAGCTCTGAAGTGACAGGATGTTTTCTGTTCAATGGAAAACAACTTTCTGGAAATGCACAGCCTTTGTTTAACATCTTTTCCCCAGTCATTAGCACCAATCAATCACTGATGCAGCATCCTGAGCCCGGAGGAGACACTGATGGCATCTGTGTAGAATTCCTTTGTCACTTCCCACAGAACACTGTCTGTGTCCACACCAGCCGTTTCTGGGACAACGAAGTCACCTGGGCCACTGAAATGGCTATTTCTTGAGCATTTCTAGTCGTGAAATTTGATTACCTGAGGCCTCAGAAGTCACTATCAAATTATCTTGAAATTGCTAGAATATAATTAAACCTACAGATTCAAATTTGGTATTTTCAGTTTATACTTTTTTCTATTATGTTCTTTCTCTTTGGGCCCGGTTGTACTCTGAGATTATTCCTGGCTCTGCACTCAGGGATTACTCCTAGCAGGGCTCAGGAATTACGTGTGGTACTGGGGATGAAACCTGGGTTGGCTGCATGCAAAGCAAATGCCCTCCCCGCTGTACTACTGCTCCGGTTCCTATATACTATTCTAAAGTGAAAACAGAACAGACAATTGAAGTGTAATGTGCTAGGAGCAGGATTTTATTTATATTTACTTGGGAGTGAGGAGTTACTGCCTCTGAAGGCTCAGGAAGCCCAAGGGTCCTACTAGTGGTTCTTGGCCAGCCAGGCTGCTGGGTCAATGAAGATGTGGTGCTGCTCAGGTCTCGAAGTGCTGGGGAAAAGCAGGACCACCCCAGTGATGCTGGGGAACCTCCAAGGCCACACTAAGTGGAGCTCAAGGACCTCCCTCCAGGAATGGGACCTTCTTTTAAACTGCCTTTCTAAATGGCACCATGGCTAACTGGGTCAGATCTTTTATCTTCGAGAACACTGTTCTATAAATAAAAGCACCCCCATTGAGCACAATAGACCGAGAGCCCCGCAGCTCTCCTGGGAGCTTGCACAAAAGTAACACATCCATGAATGCAGCCAGTGGCCTGTGAACGCAGAAGAGAGAGAGGTTACAGCAAGCTGCCTCTGTGGGACACTCAGGTGAAATAACCAGTCCTTGGTCCCTTTGCATTTGAATGTGAAAACAGACCAATGCAGGGCACAGTACTGGGTGAGTGCTGCGGACCAGCATATAGTATTACAGGCTGGGACTTGGCAGGAGCCTCCTCAAGTTACCACCAAGCATGCTAATACCCACACCAGCACTGGAGGAGAGGAGAGGATGGGCACTGGTGACTCCTTTGCACAGAATTCATCTGGGAATTTTCAATTCTGGAATTTTAGCACCTGTTTACATGTTTTAAACAGTTTATGATTTTGTCCTCTGAATGGCTGCAGTACCATTTCAGAGAGAGAGAGAGAGAGAGAGAGAGAGAGAGAGAGACGAGAGAGACGGCGCAAGTGTCTATGCATTTCAGAGCCCACTGCACAAACCAAGGGAATTATAAAATCAGGAATGAGATAGTGGAGACAACGTTCAATTAGCCACAGTGCACGAAGGCAAACCCACTCTTAGGGCTTCCTGCTCCGTGCCAGGAGCCTCATCTCTGGGAAAGAAGCAGAAGCCACCATCGACCCCCAACTTCTGCCCCCTTTGCAACTGGACTGCAGTAACCCAGGAGCCAAAGGCATGATGAATGCAAAAATTTCGTGGGCCATGGGCGTCTGCAACTGGACCTCACTCTGACTCTCCAGCCCCCCTGACGATGAGGTAAGAGAAAGCACCAGCATTCCTGCCACAAGAGGTCCCTTTCCCTGCCGGCTGGAAAACGGTACCCTCTGTTCTCAAGCAACCCCTGGGGCTCCCCAAACACTGGCTAGCCAGGTATCAGATTCTCAGATCTCCTGTCAAGCCACTCCACCTGGAATTCATTCTCACAGGGAAACTAGCTGCATCAATATTCCAAGAACTGAAGATGGAGTCAGGAAATTTGGTGAGTTTCTTCTTTCTGGCTTCTGGAGGTCTCTCTCCTTGCCAACTTGTCTCCTGCCTCCTTCAAGCCTTCTGGTTAGGCCTGCCATAACCAGGACCTGAAGCACCACACAAGGGTGCTGCCTGGATGTGCCAACCACACAAAAACACGAGATTGTGGGACAGATGTGGAGATTCTGGGTTTCCAGCTGAGACTGAAGTGCAGACACCTAGGCTGATGGGACCAGACACCCTTGGGAGAATGAATGGGTGTGTGGGAACTCAGGTATCTGAAGCTAGAGTCACCTGGACCGTCAAAACAAAGGGGTGTGTGCCCTAGAGGGCAGGGACGGGGGGTCTGACTCACGTGGTTCCTTTTGCCTTCATCATTTCCCATCGAAGTGATGACCGTCTCTGAATAGACCGTTTGTCCAGTATGGTTGTTGGTGACCTAATAATGCAGAACAAGCACAGTGATGGTGAACTGGGCAAAGCTTGTACATTTTGTTTGACTCGGTTTTCACTTTTGAAAGCAGAAGCATCCAGGATGCCTCCACCTGCTTTCCAGCCCAGCTGTCTGCCATCTGACAGCCTCCCTTCCCTGTAATGAACAGGGCCAACCCTGGGTGTTGTCTGGGAGGAGGTGGTAGCAGAAAGCTCTCTGCACAGAGCCAGTCACCTAACTAGCATTCAACTGCTGCTCTTCTTCCCACTCCTGGGGCTCCTCAGCCGAAAGTCAATATCTACTTCCTTCTTGACAGTTGCAGGTCTGGTGTCTGAGGGGACATCTTTCATAAGTAGCGAGCAGTTCTCAGCTAGGCTGTCCCCTCCTGCTCTGGTGAGTGAGCTTGTTTCAACAAGCAACAGTGGAATGAACATACTTGGAAGTCCCCTCTCTCCCCTCCCTTCCCTTCCGTCACTAAGAGCAAGCACCTCACAGTGAATCTTAGCTATAGCACCTGGACCTGCAAGGACGACGATGGATTTGGTTCTGGTTTGGGTTACTTCTAGTTTGAACGGGTTATAAAGAATTCTGGCTTGGGAGCTAAAAGGTCTGTTTTCTTTTGTTTGTTTTTTACTTTTTATTTTTTTGAGCCATAGCTTAGCAATCAATAACTATTTAGGATGCCATTTAGAACAACTCATTTCTCCGCTCTGATTCAGTTTTCTCACTTCTAGGTCATCTTTAAAGTTCCTGCCAAATCTAATATCTCAAGAGCCTGCATTCGAACAAAGAGAAATGCTTAGCCTCATTCGCATGAAAGAAAGGATTACATCTTCAATAACATCTGCTATTTTTTTTATCAAAACAATTCCTCTCCACAACAAAAAGATGGTTGTCTCATCCCTCCATGCCCGATTTGTACTGATAAACTGATTATTGTATGTTTCAATTGATTATTGTATGTTTCTATGGTGCTGTGCATGTGGGTTGCAGATTTTCTCCAAGCCTTTATATTACAAACAGGTATTTTGCTATCTCTATGAGAAATACATAATGTTTTCAAATACATCTCTTCACTACTGAGATCTCTTTCATGAAGTACTACACCAGATAGATGTTCCAGGGAACTCACCTGAGAATTACCTGACTGTGCTGATTAAGGAACTTTAAAGACCTGAACCACGGAAAAATGCAAACTACTTATTTTTGCACATCATTTAATTTATAATGATTCTTATATACTGCAGGTTACTTGACCTCACAATATTGTAGGGGTGATATTGACATCCCTATTTCATAAATATGATTAGCAAGGGTCATGGAATTCAAGGTGTTTTTTGTTTTTTTTGGTTTCTTTTTTTTTTTTCCAAATAAGACTCATTACTGGTGGAACAGATATGAGGTATTCTGACATCTAATGGAGCAATGTTAAGAAGCAACTGAGGGACCAGAGAGATAAGAGAGGAGTTAAGGTTCTTGTCCTGCACTTGGTCAACCTGAGTTCAATCCCCAGCATGACATATGGTTCTTCTGACCACTGCCAAGAATGAGCCCTGAGCAAAGAGCCAGGAGTAAGCCCTGATCATTGGTGGATGTGTCCCCCTCCTCCACTACACACACACTCTAAAATAAATAAAGCAACAGAAATGAACAATAAGAAGCTAAAATTATTGGCAAATTATTATCAGAAAAGAATACATAATATTGTTTCGGGCAAGAATAAAATAATCCCTTTGAAACCATGTTGTAGTATATCAGAAGTGCAAATCTGAATGGTTCTGCTTATCTAGGGACTCATTCATTAGTCTGCAGTCAAGCCTACCAATAAGCTGTGGACAGTTGTCCCCCACGAGTGGCTCTCTGGCACGGCCACAGCCCCAGAAGCACAAGGACTTAATGCAGAAGCCAGCAGCTTGGAGCAGAAAAGTGAACGGACTATGCGTTAATCCACGCCATCATGCCTGCCCGGAGGGGAAAAGGTGTTGCTCCCTTCCGCCCTCCCCACTCTGGAAAGAAAGATGGCAGCCGCATGGGAGCCTTGTGGAGAGCAGGTATGAGCCGGGGATGTGGGGGCGACAAAAACCTCATGGGAAGGGGGGCGTTCCGGCCTGTCCTTCACGCCCTACCATGAGCCCCCCATGAGCGGCTCTCCGGCACGGCCACGACTCCAGAGCACAGAAACCAATCTCTTAATTATCTGACTTTCAGTAGAAATACTTCCAAGGTTAATAAGTAAAATAGCAGAAATCCAAAACCGTGCGGCTGCAATAACAGCCACGCAACAACATTTAATTCTTGAACCCAGTTGTAGAAAGCAAATCATTTCACAACGCTTTTTCAGCATGTCTGATTGGGGGGGGGGGTAAACTCTAAATAATAATGGTGCATCTTTTATCGAAACAATGAATCTAGTCAAAGTAGATAGAGTGTTAACTAGAATTCATCTGCCTCACAGGCATGGGGAGGGGTGGGTGGTGGGGTTTTATTGGGGTTCTTCGTGGTAAAAAATAAGTATTGGTAAAGGGAAATGTGTTTGATATTTGCATGACTAAGACCTAAACCTGAAAGCTTTGTAACTTTTTCCACAGTGATTCAATAAATAAATAAATTATAAAAAAATAAGCTGTGGAAAGAGCAATGGCCATGCAAAGACTATTTTATAATCTAAGCAACAGGTCATGAAAATGAACCCCCTTATGAACAGAAACACTGTTTCATTCATCTTATTACCTGGACAAGAGTAAGACTTTCTGTGAGAGTCAGCATAATCTTGCATAGAGGAGCTGAGCTAAGACAGAGGTCAATAGCCTTCATGTTCACCCAAAAAAGTCAATTTTACAGTCCCCAACCATTACACTGAATATGTGCTCAGCAGACAGTGCTCACAAGAGAATAGCTTGCATGGTTTGCTCTCAAAGTACTGCTAAAAGCAAGTCAGAGACAAACCAGAGTCAGACCAATGCCACTGACCTCTAGATTTGCAATGTTTTCTTCCTCGGGGCAGGCTGGGAACAAGCCCACTTGTTCCTCATGAAAGACATTAATTAGACCATGAGACACTCAGACATGTAGTAGGTAGGATGGAAAGAAGTCAGAATTAGAAGTTTGACTGGATACCCAGCAAATGAATTCCACAACCTACAGCAAGAAAGGCCTCCACTTCTGAAATGGAACTACTTATAAGTTCCTTCTAAGGAGACAGAGAAGGTCTATTTATCAACTACAAAACTGTACCTACTTCAACTCCCCACTAAAAAATGCATAAATCCTCTCAGATAAATTCCTTAAACTGAATATTCGGAAACCATCTCTCTAGATACCACTTGATTTTTTTTCCCCAAATGATAAAAATCCTTGAACATTCCTCTGCCATTGGACTGGCAGGAAGCCTAGAGTTAAATTTATTGTTTAAAGGCAAAAGCAATTTAGTTTTTTGATACATATCTCTTCCCTTTAAATAGTTCCCTCTGGTTTTAATCCTCATCTAGGTTTTTGACATGTGTATCAAATATATAAACAAGTCCTTGAGTTCCTGAAAGAGGGAAAAGAGGAAGGGCTGACCTTGACGGGCCTTACCTTGTGAATTTCTCGGTGCACATGGACAGTATTATTTCCGATCTTGGTTTCTGTATAGGTCTCATTGTGATAGTTCGGAGGCAAGTTTGCCAGGTTTACTTCTGACGATGCTTTAGTAGCAGCTTCTTCTGCCTCCATCTATGAAATCAAAGAACGTAATGAGCAAACTGTAGCACACTGTAGCACTGTCCTGGGGTTGTTCACAGATTTGCTTTAGCGGGCCCAGTAACATTGTGAGACTTGTTGTTACTGTGTTTGGCATATCAATGTGTCACCGTAGCTTGTCAGGCTTTGCCTGTGCAGGGGAGATACTCTTGATAGCTTGCCGGGCTCTCTGAGAGAGGTGGAAGAACCGAAGGTCAGCCGGGTCGGCTGCATGTAAGGCAAATGCCCTCCCCGCTGTGCTATCACTCCAGCCCATGAGCAAACTATCTTTTCTTATATAAATCAGAGTCCATTAGGAAAAAGGGACTAATGTTAACTGTTGCATCCCGGTGAGTGTCCACTGGAACACCATATTGTATCGAATATTTAACAAATATCCTAAGCTAACATCTTTCTGTGAGTGTGAACTGCGCCAATATTACAAATGGGGAAAATGAGGCATAGGTAGACCAGATCATTTTACAAGACCCTTGGTGACAGGTAGAGCTGGAGGTCAAGCATGTAGTCATTCAACAGTCTCACTCCTCTACAAATGGGGCCCTACCGACCTCCTCATAATCCAGGGGCCCTATGCATTCGATTCCATACAGGATAACCTCTCTCTGTCTCTCTCTGTCCCTCTCTCTCTCTCTCTCTCTCTCACTGACAGCACACATGACTACAGAAGTGCTCATTCTGCCTAGACCTCGCACCACATGAAGGGAGTTTACTCGAACAAAGTGCAGACTCTGGAAGCAGGCAGAAGAGCTCCTCCTCCTCTGTATGTGAGTCTCTCTCCCAGGATCTCAGGGGATGGAGCCTAGTGGGTCTTGGTAGTAACCTGCTCAGTAGCACAGCCATCTTGCCTTTCTTCCCTACCATTTCACTTCCGTTCTCTTCTCTGTTCTTGATTCTGGGATAACACCCCAAATAAATGATTTGCTCTTATGTCCTTGTAGCAGAGCTGGGGAAAGGCATGGCAGTGGTAATGGAGGAACTAGCACAGCTCTTCGGGCTGGAGAAAGAGCTCAGTGGGATGAACACTTGCTTTGCATGCAGAAGGTCCAGGTTTGGGTTCTAGCTCCACCTGATCCCCAAGCACCACTGGGAGCAACTCCTGAGCACAGAGATTGTAATTGTTCCTGAGCACCACCAAGTGAGCCCGCCAAAAAGAAAAAAAAAAGAGGCAGCTCTTTACCCTTTGCAGGAATGGACCAGCTATGTCCCCCTCTTTGGGTAGAAGCCCCACCTTTTGGGTAGCAGAGGGACCTCTGCAGAGACACAGAGGGTCTAGTCTTTTGGATCTTCTCACACTTGTTCTCCAGTGTTGGGTTTCTGAGGCCACTTTCCACAGACACCCCCCCCCCCGACTCTTCCCATCTTCCCACCCTCTCTGTAAGATCTATCAGCCAATAGCCAATTTACATCTCCCAGTTTCCCCAGCTGAAGGAGCAGCTGCATGCACCCCATTCACAGTTGCAAGGCAGGCCACATCATGACCTAATTGAGCCCTAAATCTAGGGATCTAAAAGGAGAGTCAGAGAAGTTCTAGCTGCTGGTGGGGGGTATCCCAGGACTGTTTCTTTGACGATGGGCTATCTACATTCCTTAAAATTCACCCTCAGACAGATTTTCCTCTTTAAAGATCTGGTCCTCCATCCTTTTTCTGTTACAGGAGACCCCTTCTTTTCCTGACTCTTCTAACCCAATTTGCTGAGTTGGGGGCTGGAGATGGGGAAGAATTCCCAGGTATCAGTGCTACACAAAAACACTGAACTTAGAAGGAAAAAGGAAAGGAGAGGGTCAGTCTGAAAGACTCAAACAACCACTGTGTGTGCCCCTGAGGTAGCTGCTAAGTCTCTGGACACTTCATCGTCCAGTTCATGGTGATGATCAGCAACCCCATCATCTTCATCATCATCATCACAACACAGCCCCTGGGTTAGGGCAGCAGCTGTATCTGGGCCCTTGAATGAGCCCCCTTCCCTGGATATGGAAGATCCAGACCTCCCCAGATGCTTCCAGCAACCCTGTGAGGAAGGAGTTCTAGACTGCCCAAGAAAGTTAATATCTGTCTGAAAAGGAGGCTGAGAGAGGCAAAGGAATATGAAGTGTGTAAACGAATGGAAAAGTGAGCACAAAGAGCCAGGACAGTGGGATGAAGGAGTCTACCTAAGCTTATCACAACATCACACAACAAATACGCAAGCTTGTGCCCTGTTGTGTCGAGCTCAGCTCTGTTCATTGGAACGAAGCACCTTTCCCTGCAGCCCTTCTGCCTGTCCCCTGGAAGCACAGGCTTTTCCCAGGAGAGAGCACAGCCCCACACAGACTAGTTTCAAGATGATGATGACCACTCCGAGAAGCAATTTAGAGGTTGTAAAAACAGAGTAGAGGGGCTGGAGTGATAGCACAGTGGGTAGGGCGTTTATCTTGCACGTGGCTGACCCGGGTTCGATTCCCAGCATCCCATATGGTCCCCTGAGCACCGCCAGGAGTAATTCCTGAGTGCAGAACCAGGAGTAATACTTGTGCATTGCTGGGTGTGAGCCCCCGCAAAAAAAAAAAAAGTAGAAAGGTTTGTGGGAGGAAGAGACCAAACTGAGCAGGACTCAGGAACAGGGAGAACCTAGACAGAGAAGGGCAAGAGCATGCTCTGTTGTGGCCAACCAGATAAGAATGGGGCCGGCTGCAGACTTGGACACAGGGTGCACGAAGCAGGAAAGGGCGGAGAGGCAGATCCAGAGCAGCTGGGAAGCAGACACAGTGGCTGCTTTTCCAGGACAGAATTGTGTCCATAATTAAAAACATTAACAACAACGCCTCCAACCACCCTATTCTCTCCCTCCTTCAGCCAAATTGTATGATTTGGGGGAAAGCACCTCCCGCAGACATCCACAAACTTCTCAGATAAACCCGAAGCATTTTGTTCCATCCCTTGCCTGTACCCCACGCCACCTCATCTCCCCCAATCCAAGGAATAGTGAGTTGCAGCAAATTCTAAAACATAGTCGGGAAATCAGGTTGACCCAGGAACACACAGCCTTGAACTGCCTCAGATCAACTGATACTGAGATTTTTTTTTTCTAATCGAGGATTCCACCTTTAAGATATCAACCACCATGAATGTCGGCTGAGTCAATCTGTAGATATGGCACCCAATATACTAACAGCGGATTACAGATTATATTCACATCTTTTTATTGATGGTACCCTTAACACTCCTTGTTGTCCAAAGGTAAAACGTAGAGTCCAGAGAAGGAAGAGAGAGAATTCAGGGTAGTGGCTGGTATAGAATCTGGAAATAGAAAATTCATGTCTGGGAAGGGCATTTGAGATAGGAATAGTACTAAATAATTCCAGAAGGACTGGTTTTGGTAAGAACGTGCCAGGATACCGGAGTGGGGAAAAGTGGGGCCAAGTCTCAGCTCTTCCACGAAGCAACTGTGTGATCTTGAAAAGGTATCACATGTCTTTCAAGCTCTGTTCTCTCCTTGGGAGAATGAGACCATCCTATTTTGCTCAAAGGGTTGCAAAATCCAAGAGGTGGGCTCACGGCACCTACCATCCATCAGAGGCAACATGGAGCTACTCTCATAACAGTCTCCAATGGGAAGAAAGATGCTAGTTTGCCAGAGAATGCTGGGGAACAAATGGAAAGAGCAGACAGAGGAGGTCATATGTCTGAAGAGTTTGCGAACAAAGTGGAAAGAAAAAAGGGAGGCAGCCAAGACAGAATGTAGAAAGGGCAAGAAAAGAACTTCAAATTTTTTTGTAAGCAAGAGATCCTGGCATGTTTCGTGATAGGAAATTTACAGCTGGAAAAGCGTAGGAGACAGAGGTGCAACAGATGATATATCCAGAAGGAAAGGGAATGTTTTAATATTTGAAAACTCTCATTGGAATTCGAATCCTTCAGTTCAGCTTTCAAATAATAATGGACCAGTTACCAAATCTAGAGTTTGCTTTGGACTCTTCAGACAAGCTTTTTATAAAACCGTCTCCCTTTCAGCCAGTGGTTATTTCAATAGACTGAGCCAACTTCTTTAGTGGTACTGTGAGCGGAAAGCATGGCTTACAATGGAAATTTCAAATGCAACTCTAACTGCCACTACTAAGAGAAATATAAGCCTGAAGCAACAGGAGTTGTTTCATAGAGAAGGAATGCGAATGTTATTAAAAATGGCACTGAGAATTGGTTGAGTCTGTGTGACTGTTAAACGGACATATAGAGTAAGAGAAAGAGGTGAGGGAGAGCCAGCGGGGTAGCACAAAGGGCTGGAGAATATGCCTTGTATGTGCAAGACTTTAATTCCTATCACCACACGGTCACCTGAGTATAGTCGGGTGTAGCCCTGATGGTCCCTGAGCACTACCAGGTATGATTCTGGGGACCCTTAGCATCACTGGGCTTGGGGAATGTCACATTTCTGGGTCCACAACAAATCCTTTGGCAGGGGTTGTCTGAATATAGATAGGAATGGCCTCAGGCCCTTGAGCATAGTTATAGGTCTTCCCCACCCAAGCAAAGAAAATTAAAAAGAATAAGTGAGGAGATAAATCCCGGCTTGATAGTGGGATTCTCCCTAGGAATAAATGAGGTGATAAAAAAGATCTTACAGGGGCTGGAGAGTACAGTAGGTAGCATATTTGCCTTATATGAAGTTTGATCTCTTGTACCACATAGAATCCCCCAAGCACCACTAGGAGTGATCCCTGAGCACATAACCAGGAGTAATCCCTGAGCACTGCCAGCTGTGGCCCAAAAGTAGACATACAAAAACAAATAAATGAAGGGAAAAAAGAATCTTGAAAAATCTTATAATTTTCTAGGCTGGAGTGATAGCACAGTGGATAGGGAGTTTGCCTTGCACGCGGCCAACCCAGGTTCGATTCCTCCGTCCCTCTCAGAAAGCCCAGCAAGCTACTGAGAGTATCTCGCCTGCACAGCAAAGCCTGGCAAGCTACCAGTGACGTATTCAATATGCCAAAAATAGTAACAACAAATCTCACAATTTGTTGTGAGATGTTAGAGGTGCCCGCTCGAGCAAATCAATGAACAATGGGAGGGCAGTGCTACAGAGCTATAATTTTCCAGTTATAGATGTGACAATGTAGAAGGGGTGAGGGAGAGGGCAGTGAGCAGTTTTATCCTCAAAATACATTTGGGACTTAGAGAGGTAGCACAACGGACTAGAGTGCTGCTTTACACATGGGGGAGCCCCGGGTTTAAACCCTGGAACCAGATGATCCTCCAGCACAACCTGAAGGATCCCTGAGCACTGTAGGTGGAGCAACCCGCGAGTAGAACTGGGTGCACTTCCCAATAAAAACAAAATACACTTAGTAACATAAAGAACGAACCATAAACCCAGATTCATCACCATAACCATAAACAGAAATATTCCAGATTAAATTATCAGTACAATTGTACAGATTGGATCCCCTCACAATGATCCTGCGAATAGTTTATAGTTAACTTGTGTTTCCCCTTAAGAGAAATCAGCAGCTTGAGTCAGCCGGAATACTAAAAGTTCAGGAAGTTGCTTGAAAGCAGATTCATGATGCAACTATGTAAACAAGTAATAAATGCATCTGGCCTGGCCTTTCTGGTTCTTCCTAGGACAGCAAATAAAAAACAAACAATTATCATGCAAAGATGATAATTGTGATTTATGATCTTTCTGACATTCTTTTAAAAATTGGTATGAATAGCCCCAATGCACTAAAAACTATTGTGTATTAGACACTGGTTCTTACTACAATCAATAAGATAAAAAAAGAATCAGAGCCACCATTTTTTGAGAACTGACAATCTTGCAATTGCCTTATACTCACATCCTAAGGATGTTGCTCCAAATCTGACTATTTTAGATGAGGGGAGGGGGGAAGGGGGAGAGAGAGAGAGAGAGAGAGAGAGAGAGAGAGAGAGAGAGAGAGAGAGAGGGAGGGAGGGAGGGAGGGAGGGAGAGAGGAGAGAGAAGCGCTTGTTCTTTTTGTGGGGGAATCTTACTTGTTTCTTCCCTTTACCTAAGGGATGGACATTTTCTCCATATCCAACTCCAGACCTCAGTGCTAGGAATTATCAGTGCTGGGATCATATGAAGGAAGGCTATTTCTCCCATCAGGCAGGTGTTTAGCCTCTCTCAGCCTGTCCCCACTGCCTGGGATGACAGGTAGCTTTGAGGGCAGTCTGCCCACCTGCACAGCTGCAGCAGAGTTATTCATGGAGGCAGGATGTGGACAACTGCAGTCCATAGCACAAATGGCCACAGGATCTTGCTAGTCCCTAAAGGGCTCTGATCAGTAAGGAGCCTGCAAGGTCCCTTGAGGCTCACCTTTCTCCCACCCAGGCACTAGCCTCAGGCTACCTATACATGTCCACTGACCATAAGGGGGTGAGCCCCTGTCTCACTGGGAATCAGTATGCAGGAGGGAGAATTCGAGAACCCAGGGAGAAAACAACACCCTTACCTGGAATTAGAAAGCCCCTGAGCTGAATCACATTTGAAGGCACAGATGAGGTGATGCATCTATTTGAGCCCCTGCACCTTCCATGAATGCACCTCCAGAGTTTGTGTTATCACAGGAAATACAATGCCCAGGGGGTTGGATCTGGCCTGGTGGGTAGATGTGGAGGTTCAACAGCCCAGGGTCTCCTTCACTTCCAGAGGGTGTTAGGAAGGAAGAGGCAGCATTCCGAGTGACACAGCGGGAGGGCAGTACTCAGCCCCCTCTGCCCAGCCCTGGAGGCTCTGTCCAAGGACACTTCCCAGTTGGAGGGTGTTGGGGTGTGTAGAGGCCACAGTCTGCTGCCTGGACATCTGATCTCCTCTCTCCCCCTTCCCTGGCATTGCTGACGTCCGTCCAGACAGGCTGCAGCCAAAACTGGGTCCAACAGGGAGTGCCATGGATAGGGATGGGTACGGGCCAGCCTCCCCTCCCACCTAGCAATGCTTTGGTGCCAACCAGAGGGGAAAGAAACTTCATCCATAGCATGTGGAGATAACGGCAGACAGGCAGGCAAAGCTGTGCTTTGTCAAGGTGCCTGGTATCTGCTGATCACACGTGGGTGATCACACGTGATCACATGTGCTCTTTATTGCACGTCTCTGAAATGCCAGGCACCCACACTTATGGTGGCATTTAATACTTGTGGAAAACTGAAGGAGAGATTTTGGGGGGCAGGGGGGGTTGATGTCTTTGCGGATCAAACTCAGGGCTATACCCATGCAAAATAAGTGTTCTTGGGCTGAAGTGCTCTTGGACTGTGGGTAGGGGGCTTGCCTGGTTCGGAGCCAAGCTGGGCTTGATCTTCAGCACCGCCGAGGCGACTCTGAGGACCACCAGAAGTGATCCCTGAGCACAGAGCCAGGAGTAAGTGTGGTTCCTCCCCTCCCCTCCCCTCCACTCCCCCCTCCCTACATACACAAAAAAGTTGTGTTATCTAGTGCTGAGCTGCCTCCAGGCTCTGAGGTACATATATCACAGGACGTATCCAGTGCCCCACTGGTGTGACTAAGATCTGGAGCCCAAGACTTAAGCCCAAGATTGATTCCAGAACATTCTTGGGTGGCACTGTGAGGCAATCCTTTGCACTGCCTCCCCCCCACCCCCACCTTCAACTCCCAGCCCCTGGTGAGTCACAGGACTGGGATTTGGGGTTCTGGTTTCTTTATTTTCTGTGCCCATGGGGCAGCCCAGAGTTCTCTGTTCCCACATGGCCTCTTAACTGGACCTTGGATGGCATGAGCACACAGCCCAGGGTTAAGACTTGCAATGTCTTCAGAGTTTCAGGGCATCTCTGCGAAACTAAGGGGGCGCTGAAACACCCTGGCGCGCATCAGCGTGTGTCCCAGGAGTGCACAGCGGAGACTACAGCGGGTCTGCAGGCAGGCGGGGACCCAGGCATCGGGTGGGTCCAGCCTGGAGCTCTGCGTGCAAGAGCGCAGAGTGCGGTGGAGACAGGACTCGCCTGTGCAGCCTCCAGGATCCCCGCGAGCCCCAAACTAGCCTCCCGCCTTCGCCAGCCATCCGCGGGCGGGCCCCCGGGGACCCGCTTCCCCGCAGCCGCCTTCCGCGTCTGGCGCCGGGGCTCACCCACCTCCTCCACGGCGCTGCGCAGCTTGTGCTGAGTGTCCTCCATCAGTTCCTCGACCTCGCGGAACATCTCGTTGAGGGTGGCCTCCTCCTGCGGGTAGCTGAGAGCCGGGCCGGGCTCGGCGGGAGCCGAGGTCGCCGTAGGAGCGGGCGCGGGGGCCGTGGGCACCGCCGAGGCCAGCAGCAGGCACAGCAGCGTGCCCCCGAGTCGCCCCATCTCTGCCGCCGCCGCCTGGGGCCGGGAACGCAGTGAGCGGCGCACGGGCCACCCGCCTCGCCCGCTCCCCACCGCGACCGGCCTCCCCGCACCCAGCCGGGGGCCGCCCGGGACCGTCCCCTCCCCTCCCGCTCGCTCTCCGCAGCTTGGGACCCCCGCGCGGCCTTCCTCCCCTCCTCGTGTGCCGGGTCCCCAGGGCTCGTCCCTCTCGGGAGCGACTCCCTCCGGCTCCCGGACTCCAGCACGCCCCCTCCGAGCCCAGATCCGTCCCAGCCTCGAGCTGGGCCGCCGCCTCCCCCCAAACCCACTCCCTACCTCCAGATGCGAGAGCAGCTCTGGCGCCGAACCCCTTCCTAGGGCGCAGATCTGCGACCCGACCCTCCCTCCAGGGCGAGAACCAATCCCACCCGCACCCACCCGGAATGCGCTCCGGGTCCGGACCTGCCTAGCTTGGCGGGGATGCTGCTCGGGTCGCGGGAGCAGGAGGCGCGCGGCGGAGGGGCGCGGGGGCGCGGAGCGCGGCGCTGGTACCCGAGCGCGCCCCGGCCCGCCCCAGCCCCCGCCCCGCCGCAGCCATTGGCCCGCCCCAGCCCGGCCTCCCCTGCCTGCAGCCACCGGGCGGGGAGAAGCCGGCGGCCCACCCCCCACCCCCACCCCCTCCTGCAGCCCACCCGGCCCATTGTCATCGCTGGCGGGTATTCTGGCAGCAGCTTGCGGGAGGGCGGGGAAGGGTCTTCCTACTCCCACCCCCAGCCCTTTCCCAGCACCTCGAGCAGCCCTGCGGGACGCAATCCCAGCTCTTCATCGGTCCCCCATCCCAGGCTATCACAGGCCGGCCTTCACTGTCCTACTCCTGCCAGGAACACCCACTTGTAGCTCCCAGAATAAGTCGCGAGGATGTCAGCAGGCAGCTTGAGGGCGGCCTAGCACAGTGGGTGAGATCAGATCTAGCACCCAGCCTGCCCGCGGGGGCATCGCGGCTCAGCTCCTGACTGCTTAGTGCTTTAGAAATCTGACTAAATTGCCAGAGTCGTGTGCTGGGAAAAAAAAAAAAAAACATCCGGGGGCGGGGGGGCGGGGCGAGGGTATGGGGGGTGCTGCACCTCAGCGCTTCCCCCTTAACCTGCCAAGTCCTGTGGGCTGGGCGCTGCAGGTGCTAAAAGTGTCAGCTCTGTGTCTTAGTCACCCACCGCTGCTTCTATAGCTGCCACTGCTGCAGTTTGCTCAGAAGGAAACTGGCCTCAGGCGCCATAGCTAGGAAGTGAATGTACAGGGATTTAAATCTGGCTACCAGAGCCTTCCACCTTCACTGCCCAACTCCCCTACTGGGTAGAGGCAGTAGGTGGTCGCTGATTAAAACACAGGTAGGGGGAATGGATGAAGGAGTTGAGGACACATTACAACCAAAGAGGCTACTTGGGAATGTTGGTCATTTAAACTGACGACCCAGGAAAAGTAGCAGACGGGGAAAGATTTTCCAAACTCTCCCTTTCTACCCTAAAACGGGCCATGACATTTCCCAGGAGAAATGTATCCTTTTCGAACTGAAAGTGAAGAGCATCAGTCTCCCCTAACCCTGGGACCCACTGCTCAAGTGCATCTGAGCAAACACATCAAGGTAACCCTGCTCTGCATCCACTCCCAAGGATCCCAGGCATTTCTCGGCACTTTTCTACATGCTGTTTCCCTTAGCTCAACTCCTTTGCTTTATGCCTTACCATTTCTTCACAAATACAGGCGCTTTTTTTTTCAACAGGTAAATAAGTTTTCTGTTCTGGCTACTTTCTTGGGTCCTCATTTTTTTGGTGAATACTCTGCTTGCATGTTCTCTCTCTCTCTCTCTCTCTCTCTCTCTCTCTCTCTCTCTCTCTCTCTCTCTCTCTCTCTGCTTTGTTTAGGGACCATACCTAGTCATGCTCGGAGCTGAGGGACCATGCCCAACTGTGCTCCAGGGTACCATGGATTGCTGGGGATGGAACACAGGCCTCTCACATATATAGCATATGTACCAGCCCTTTGAGTTATCTCCCTGACCCCTCCATGTAGTCTTTTGATAAGATTTATGTGTAAGGGTCAGAGTGATAGTACAGTGGGTAGGGCACTTCCCTTGCATACGGCTTAGCTGGGTTTGATCCCTAGCATTCCATATGGTTCTCCGAGCACTGCTAGGAGAAACCCTTGAGCACAGAGCCAGGAGTAACCCCTGAGTATCACTGATATGACCCCAAAAAGCCAATGTAATATATGTGTGTGTTTTGTTAATCTGTTTTCTATCAGCCCAAATTCTAAGGTTTGATACCATGAGTGCAGAGGAGAACTTTTCTCCTCTCTTTATAAACACCGTGGCTACACTGTCATATTCATACATCTGAGTCCTCAGCAGAGTCACTTGGGCAGCAAGCCTACTTGTAAATCCTTAGCATCTAGCACTAAGCACACCCCAACTCCAGAAGTGAGGGTGTGGAGACTCAGAGAAGTCGGAAGTCGAGCTTTCTACCCAAAGATCCTCCCAGAATAAGAATAGAAAGGTATCTTACTGAATCTGGAAATAGGTTTGACCTGGCCTACTTACCAACAAGTGCTCCTATGCTTTCTTCCTGGGACTGACTTTCTTTTTAGGCTTTGCAAGTCAATTCCGGTTCATCTCTGGGCTGTGGCTCCCAACTGTGTTCTCCTTTGGCACCTCCTGGCTAGTCTCCCACAGGTCCCGGGAATCTTCCTCCCAGTTAGCAGCACCCCCTCTAGCCCCTGCGTACGTGGCAGCTGGCATTTAGCTATTCCTTAGCGTTCTGGGGAAGAATGAAACCAGGCAAGGCTCTGGAGCTGGAGGCCTGCAGACCCCCAGGCCCTTCACACTTCAGGAACATGCACTGAAAAGAAACTTGAATAGGAGCTGAGGTTGCTGCTGGGGGCCTCATTGCGGGCAACTCCCAGACGGGAAACACACTCAGAGTGGGCCCTTGCCATCCTTCACACTGTTGCCTCAAAAGATAGAGAATGTGAGAGCCTTCCCTCTAAGATCAGGGACGAGACAGGGATGCCCACTCTCTCCACTGCTGTTCAATATAGTACTGGAAGTACTTGCAATAGCGATTAGGCAGGAAAAAGATATTAAGGGCATTCAGGTAGGAAAGGAAGAAATCAAGCTCTCACTATTCGCAGATGATATGATACTCTACTTAGAGAACCCAATAACTTCCACCAAAAAACTCCTAGAAACAATAGACTCGTATAGTAAAGTTGCAGGTTATAAAATCAATACCCAAAAGTCCATGGCTTTCCTATACGCAAACAGTGAGAGAGAAGAAAGCAACATGAAAAAAACAATCCCATTCACAATTGTGCCCCAGAAAATCAAGTACCTAGGAATCAGCTTAACTAAGGAAGTAAAGGACCTGTACAAAGAAAACTACAAAACGCTACTTCAGGAAATAAAAGAGGACATGAGGAAATGGAAAGATATCCCCTGCTCATGGGTCGGGAGACTTAACATTGTCAAAATGGCAATACTACCGAAAGCATTGTATAAATTCAATGCAATCCCTATAAGGATACCCATGACATTCTTCAAAGAAATGGAGCAAACACTCTTGAAATTTATATGGAACAATAAGCCCCCACGAATAGCTAAAGCAATTCTTGGGAAAAAGAAAATGGGAGGTATCAACCTCCCGAACTTCAAACTGTACTACAAAGCAGTAATAATTAAAACAGCATGGTACTGGAACAAAGGCAGAACTGCAGACCAATGGAACAGGGTTGAATACACTGACATCTCTCCTCAATCATATGCTCATCTAATCTTTGATAAAGGTGCAAGTAATGTGAAGTGGAGTAAGGAAAGCCTCTTTAATAAATTGTGTTGGCATCACTGGACGGCTACATGCAAAAAAATAGGCTCAGAACTCTGCCTAACACCATGTACAAAAGTAAGATCAAAATGGATTAAAGACCTCAACATCAGACCAGAAACCATAAGGTACATTGAAGATAAAGTTGGCAAAACCCTCCATGACATTGAAGCTAATGGTATCTTCAAAGATGCCACGCCACTGGCCGAGCAAGTGAAAACAGAGATAGATAAATGGGACTATCTTAAACTAAGAAGCTTCTGCACCTCCAAAGAAACAGTTACCAAAATACAAAGACAGTCTACAGAATGGGAAAGGATATTCACCGAATACACATCTGACAAGGGGTTGATATCCAGGATATACAAAATACTGGTTAAACTCCACAGGAAGAAAACATCCAACCCCATCCAAAAATGGGGCAATGAAATGAACAGAAACTTTCTCAAAGAAGAAATCCGAATGGCAAAAAAGCACATGAGAAAATGCTCTACATCATTAATCATCAGGGAGATGCAGATCAAAACCACAATGAGATACCATCTCACACCTCAGAGACTGGCCCACATTCAAAAGAACAAAAGCAACCGATGCTGGCGTGGATGTGGCGAGAAAGGGACACTCCTTCACTGTTGGTGGGAATGTCCACTGGTTCAGCCCTTCTGGAAAACAGTATGGACGATTCTCAAAAAATTAGAAATTGAGCTCCCATTTGACCCAGCAATACCACTCCTGGGAATATATCCCAGAGAGGCAAAAATGTATAGTCGAAGTGACATCTGCACTTGTTTGTTCATTGCAGCACTCTTTACAATAGCCAGAAACTGGAAGAAACCTGAATGCCCAAGAACAGATGACTGGTTAAAGAAACTTTGGTACATCTACACAATGGAGTACTATGTAGCTCTTAGAAAAGATGAAGTCATGAACTTTGCATACAAGTGGTACAATATGGAAAGTATCATGCTAAGCGAAATGAGTCAGAAAGAGAGGGATAGACATAGAAAGATTGCATTCATCTGGGGGATATAAAGTAACAAAGTATGAGATTAATACCCAAGAATAGCTGAGATCAGCACCAGGAGGATTACTCCATAACTTAGAGGCCAGCCGGGTATCCTAGAGGAAAGGGCAGTTCAGATAGAGAAGGGAGCACCAAATAAAGGATGTTTGGAGGATCCTCCCAGGAGGGGAGATGCATGTCGAAAGTAGACTATGGACTGAACATGTTTGCCACTCAATGCCTCTTTTGCAGACCACAACACCCAAAAGGAGAGAGAGAACACAGGGGATTGCCCTGCCACAGAGACAGGGGGGATAGGGGGATGGGGGTGGGAGGGATATTATCCATGGTGGTGGAAAATGGGCACTGGTGGAGGGATGGGTATCTGATCATTGTATAATTGAAACCAAAGCACTAAAAATTGTAAATCTACAACTTTAAAAAAAATAAAATAAAATAAAGGGGGAAAAAAAGACAAAAAAAATAAAAATAATCACTAGTAAGTTTAAAACCAAAAAAAAAGATAGAGAATGTGCAGGGCGGGTGCAATAGTACAGCAGGTAGGCCATCTGCCTTGCATGCGGCTGACCTGAGTTCAATCCCCAGCATCCCATATATCCCCCGAGCACCACCAGGAGTGATTCCTGAGTGCAGAGCCAGAAGTAACCCCTGAGCATCGCTGAGTGTGACTCAAAAACCAAAATAAATAAATAAATAAATCACTGTCACTGTCCTCCCGTTGTTCATCAATTTGCTCGAGCAGGCCCAGTAATGTCTCCATTGTGATAATTGTTACTGTGTGTGGCATATCGAATACATCACAGGTAGCTTGCCAGGCTTTGCTGTGCGGGCGAGATATTCTCGGTAGCTTGCTGGGCTCTCCGAGAGGGGTGGAGGAATCAAACTTGGGTCTGCTATGTTGGCCGCTTGCAAGGCAAATGCCCTACCCACTGTGCTATTGCTCCAGCCCAAATAAATAAATAAATAAATAAATAAATAAGTAAAAAGATGGGGAATGTGCTTACAGAAGGCTTAGCTCTGAAACCTTATCTCTGGAAACCCGAGATACTAGCCATGAGGTCTGGAGGTGCTTGCCTTGCATGCAGGTGTCCTGAGTTGAAT